GTACAGAGCTGCAGGAGCTCAAGAGTGGAAATTGGGTTTGACTCTCCAGCTCTTCCTGGTTCTTCAGCACGGCTGCTACCAGAACTGCTCTGGAGGTGGGCTGGGGTTTGAGGGATTTCCCCTGCTCGCTGCCAGCCCTTGATGCTGACATTGAGGTAGATGTGATAAGGTGAGCTTGCAAATGCAAAACGCAGGGAGCGTGTGGCCTCTGTGCTATTGTCTCCTCTTTCCCAGCAGAAGCTTTCCTGGGAAATGTAGGACCTGGAGATGGAGTGCTGATCACTTGCGTTGAGGAACGGTGTCTTGTCAGCGAGTACTGCGGAGCTGCGCAGATACCTAAGGGTATCACGGAGCTCCTGCAAAGCGGTGCTGCAGTGGGGACCTGCAGGTAGGTCGGGGAGCTCCGCAGGCGGCACGGGGGACCAGCGCCTGAGCATCCCCAGCCTGCAGCTTAGCCTGTGCAATTGAAATGAACAGCCAGCCTCCCTGCCTGCTCCGGCGGACGGGCAAGCCCTGCTAATGAGGGAAGTAGAGGAAGAAAACTCAATTGGGTAAATTTCCCTGGAGCTTCCGCTGTGAGTCACCTTCCTGGCACAGGAGGAGATTATCAAGGCAAGTGTGTTAATGTTGCTAATAGGCAGGCAATAAATGGGGATGCTAAGATATGTCACTGCAGAGATCTGACTTGATCTGTTGTCAGAGTGAGTCTCCATCACCGTGAAATCTCACAGCGTGTCCTCCTGGCAGAGGCAAAGCCTGGGTGAGGGACGCACCGCTGGCCCCCTCGGCCAGGCAGGTGTTGTTTCCCCTTTTACCTCCTGCTGTGGCAGAAGGAAGGAAGTTTGCCGCTTCTTACATGTACGGAATACAGGAAATTGTATGTTTGAGACAGAGCATTGCAGTGTCCGAAATAACCGTGCTGCGTTATTCCCCAGTGTGAGATTTAATTAAGTTCTGTGACAGTGAATTTAATTATACCCCATACTGCAGTGCCCTGGATGGATATTTAATGAAGAAGTGGTGTCTGTCTGGAAGGGAGTTCTTTTCTTTGTCTTTAAAATAAGCATTCTTCGTTGCCAGTAGTCCGTGTTGTTTCTTCCCCTTACTTTGTCTGCAAGCGGTAGGAATTTTAATAAACCTGCTAAACTGAAGCCATTGCTATCCCAGCAAGTAACTGTGTTTTTTAGCAAGAATGGAAGGCATAAAACAAGTGGCTAAATTGGAGTTTGGGTTTTGCAGATGGTGCCAGGGAATTGGAATGACCTTTTGGCGTTCTCTCATAAACACACAAGTGTAATTTTTCTGTTATAAAAAAGGGAGGCAGCAAACTCGGAGGAGAGGCGATTCCTTCAGCTTCTCGCCTGCCTGCGTTTGGAAGAGGCTCCAGCATCATGAGGTTGGACGCTGCCCTCTTGGATGCCAGGAGACTTTTGGCGATGCCGGAGACCACTTTGATCTCCAGCAACAGGATGCGGGGTGTTTGGTGTATAGTGTCTATAAGAAAATGGGTCTTTAAATGTAGTACCCACCTGTGGTCCCCCTGTGTCAGTGGGACTCATGGGAACGACACGCTGCTGACAACTGAGCCATTTTTTGTTGCTCTATTTAGGAGTCTAAAATTAGGTTTGAAAATTACGGCTTTGTGGACTTCCCCTCCACCACACGGAAAATCTAGGGCAGAGGCAAGAGCTGCAGCTGACTTTGGACCATTGCTCCTACCACAAGCTGATCTTCCTCCATTTGCTTTGGGAAAGGCTCAGTTCAGGGCCCGGGCTTTGACTCATGACAGCAGGGTCAGCTGCAGGGGTTATGTGCGACGTTGAACTCCTGCAGGCTTGGGGCCTCTGGGTGCAAGACCCCCATTTGTAGACCCTGACTTAAATAACTCATATTCTGGATGTTCCCTTTTATCTGGGAGGGATGCACGCTTTTAATAGCTCTGTTGCTTATTAGCAAGCCACAGTGAGATTTTCGAGACCAGCTAGTGACTGCCAGTGTCGCGGGGAGGGGAGGGACTGGGGTTTCCAGCAGACGAGGTTTCCAGATGGCTGGGGGTACTTAGCACCTTCCGGTAATTGGCATCTTCTTGGCACCTCGTGCACATAAGAATGGGAGCAGCGTGCATCAGTCACGCTTCTGAAGATGGGACTCTTCCAAATACCCTGACACTAATTCACAGATAAACTATAATTACTGGATATTCACTGAATGCAGAGTGCTTTTACTCTTTAGATTCCTTGCTTCACTCTTTGCATTCAATTCTAACTTTTAATAATCTAAGGTTAAACTTTTCAAGTATGTAGGTTGTCCAGTTAGCTTTAATTAGAAGACCTCTCTGTGTCGTGGGCTTCTTTAGCAACCCAGCCAAGAAGCTGATGGGATGTTTTCCCTGACTGTGTGCACAAAAATGCATGGAGTTATTTGAGGAAATCTGAAAGAAACTGCTCGGGTTTTTTGGTTTGGGTTTTTTTTGGCGGGGAGAGGGGGGTGTCTATACTTAGTTTAAACACATCTTCAAGCTATAATAAATGCTTCCTAGCCAAGAAGATTCTACAGAGATGTGGGGTGTAATTACAAGGGAGGCAGGAAAGCAGTGCATGCACATCTGCAGTAGCATCCAACTGCTGGATTTCTGAGTAGGAGTTGACCTGATCTGCAGCCGAGCGTAGATGTTCAGCAGCTCCCCAAGTTGTGGCCTCTCCCGTGAAATGCCATGTTCATGCTGTAGGAGGTGAGCGACTGGATCTGCTTCCTCCTGCTTGGCAAGAAAAGTGAAAATACAAACTGATAATAGGATTTCAACAGACCAGGGGGTGGAGGGAGGAAGATGCCATGAGTTTTTACACTCGCAGTGAGATTTCTCGTAAGCATGCTGAACTTTGGCTGTTGCGGTTGTGAAATTGGAAACTTTATTATATAACTGTGGTGTAGCTATTTCGTAATAAAATGTCCTTTTTGAGGGAGACTTTGGTTCACTCAGGTCAGAATAGTGAAAATGAGCTACTGAAGACAAAATGGGGAGGGTGGGTCACGGTCAAGGTGAACCTAAAACCTTGAAATACTCGTGCTAGGAAGCCCTGATAATCTGCGTTCTGAAATATCAAAGTTGATTGGAAATTGCAAATCCAGTGGCAGGTGTCTCTAATAAATCTATCAAATCGAGATAGATTGACAGGTGATGCTGTATGATTGGAGAATGCAAATCTAAGCAATTCGTGTACCCACAAGTGTTTATTGTATAATTTTACAGGGGAGCTAGTTTAGCACTAACACAGAGCCAGCTCAGTGCGGAGAATGCAACAGCCACTTACCCACATCCAGTGATGCAGGTTTTGTTGAAAAATAGTCAAAGTCAAGCTATAAAACACTTCTGGCTACGGAGCAGGCCCAGCTTTTGTGCACTCTGCCAGTCTTAATGTGAAACAAGTCCCCAAAGTGGGGGAGGGCATTACGTGTTAGATCCACACAGTGAGTTGGCTGGGCTGGAGACAAATACTGCCAGTGGAAGGGCAAAGCAATATTGTCTATAATTCTAGATTCATCCCTGTGTGTTTGCAGGATAAATAAATTAAATTGTGTGATGTTCCTCATCATGGTCTCTGGAACCCAGGTTGGGTGACCCAGGGACAATCATCGACCTCAAATGAAAATGCAGCAATTCTGAAATAGTGTGAGGATTTGCCGTACTGTATGTGTTCATGTTTATAATCACGCATTTTATTTTGTTAAGGATTTGTAGAAAATTAAAGGAAATCAAAATACTAGTTTACTTTTAAACTTCACTGTCACAGGCAGACTGGAAGAGGAAGCCATCTGTATTTTGGTTTTAATGTTTAGAAATGGAAAAAACGGAGCCCAGATGTGGATTGGCAGCCCTGTTGATGATGTCTTTTCAGCTCCCGGAGCAGGAAGAATATCAGACAGGATTTCTGAAGTGGTGTAAATAAGGGCCCTGGGGCATTTCTCATGCGGCAGGACTGTTTCATTTTTTAAAATAATATATAGAATTAAAATGTATATGGTTTTGTTAACTCTACTGCAGAGCAAAGAACGGCAAGTCTCATGTTTGGCAGGGGAGCCAGGAGAGGGCAGATCTCCGAGGGGGCAGAAGGTATTTAAGACGGGCATTACGCGAAGCCAGTTGTGCTGCCAGGGTCCGCCCACTCCGTTGTCAGCTGAGAGGAGGAAAGAAAAACCCTACAAGCATGACAGCAATGTGAAAAAATGCAGCTAGATAGCGGCAGCATAAATAGGTTGCTGTGGTTTTGTTCTCTGTGGGATGGATGTGAAAGCCTTTGCTGGGGATTATCAGGATCCGCTTGGGCACAGAGGTGGAAGGGCTTGGAACAAGTACTTCTGGCTTTGTCAGGATTGGGTTTCTCACTTGGTTTAAGAAAAGAGGAGAACAACTCACTGCTTCCCTGTCCTACCAGCTTGCCAGCGTCTCCAGACTGTTCCTTCTGCTGGTGCCACGGTGTCCCGCAGGAGTACGCTGGCACCACTGGAGACCTTCTACATACCTTTGACCAGCTAGTCGGGGAAAAAACCCGTCACCTCATTTCTCCTTCCTGAGTTTGAACTGGTTATTTGTAGGGATCCCATTCCCCCTTTCCAGACCTCCTGTCTATCTCCAGAGTGTGATGCCCTTCGAGTGGCGTGAGGTCCTCTGGAGCCTTGGCGTGCTGGGAGTGTTTGGAGCGAGGGCTGAGCGTCTGTGTGCTGCTGCTGGCACTCGACCTGTGCAGGGCCTTGAGGGCAACGCGCTTCTGCTGCTGACCACAGCTGAGGACGTGCTTCTGGTGGGGTAGTGCTATCACAGTACTGTTCATGGCGTGTGCAGACCGCTCTTGTGCATGTGGCTTGGAGAAAGGATTAAGATGCATATGCATGGAGCATTTGGAAGTCACGCAGTTTTACTCTTCCCTCCAAAATGTATTTTCCTTTCAGAAATGCTTATTGTGAGCATAACAGTCTCAACTCTTCTTCATTTTGTCTTCCAGAGTAAGGAGATTGGCTTACAGATGCATGAAGAACTCCTGAAAGTCACCAACGAGCTTTACACGGTGAGTAATGAGCTGATCCTACCCATGTCTAGCCTGTGCAGCGAGGGGAAAGTAGGCAATGTCATTTGTTAGAACAAAATGTCTGTTCAACGTTTCGGTGACTTGAGGAGGCTCACTCTCTCTCCTGCCATCCTGTGGTACAGCCCGTTCGTTCCTCTTGCACGTGTTAGAAACGTTTCACTCTTCACTGGTTTTGACAGCAGCAGAGGAGGATTTCCCAGCAGTCCTACCGTGAAGGGCTTCTGTGGCCGCATCAGGCAGCAGATCGTGCCGTCTAACTGTTTCATTTAAGCATAAATGGAGATGTTTTGGGCATGATCCGGTGCGATGCCTGGTGTCCGTAATGGTCTCACCTGCCGGGCCTTCTGCACTGTGTTGCCTTTAGGCCCCTTTCAGTTTTCACTCGGTGATTTCTACCAGGTGCTAATGGCTCAGAAGCCATGCTTTGAGTTGGCAGTGCCAATTTGTGGCTGAAACCTGACCTGCTCATGTGAGTCTGGTGGCCTGTGGATGACGACTGAACATGACCTTCTGCTGAGGAATGCATAAAACTTTTAGCTCGTGTGTGTACTCAGCTTCATCTCCCTGCTCCAAGGAGCACTTTGGTTGGGGAGCTGTCTCTGTGCCTCCGGGTGAAATTGTACGCTGTTATTCAGGACATTGCTCTTCAAGCAGGTTTTCATAGTAGAGCAGTAAAAGTCTTTGTGTTACTTCTGTCTCTCGCCCTGTAGCAATTGGTTTTTTTATTTTATTTGTGGTTTAGGATCAACAAAGCAATATAAAGTCTGTCTTGTGTTGGAAAATTGAGATGACACATTTGCTTTCTTTGGTTGTATCTGTTACTGATACATAAATAACACTGCAGTAGGTTTATTCTTAAGCAATCATTTTATTCCATCTTTTTGAAAAATAGACCTAAACAACACAGCATGAATGATATTATTTGAAATTTCTGCCATAAATCTTCTCTTAACAGGTTTGTTTCTGCATTGGTTGTTGAAGAATTCAGTTTTTGTGAAACCTGCAGTGTGGGTGGACAGCCAGGTTGGATTAAAAAGCCTGTGTGAGATTTGGGAGTGCGTTGTTGATGGTTGAATGTCACAAGCTGTTATGGTGACTAATTAAGATTAATTACAAAGGCAGCATGACAGATGCAAAACAAGGAAAGATTAACAAGGGCTGGGATAACCTTAATACCTGCGGACCAGTGTACTCAGAACCCAAACACGGGACAGGAGCATCACCTGAGGGACATGGTTAGGTCAGTTTGAGGATCAGAAGTGTGCTGAGGTCTGAAGTGCGTGCAGTTGGCCAAGGAAGAGCATAGAGTAATTTTGTTCCCGCTGAGTCTGTGGCAAAACTCGTCTTCACTGGAACTGAGATTTCCCCCCATTCATTGCTTTGCTCCCACATGCTGAGCAGAATGTGTTTGAATGGTGAAGCAGACTGGAATGGCTGGAAGAGCTTTGTGTTTTCTTTGAACTGACCTTGCTGCTAAGATAACAAACTGTGTCATCTGGCTGGGAAGGAGCAGGGAAGAGACACGCTTATTTCAGAAACGATGATGAAACATGAAGAAAAAGCAGGCCCTGTCTGGCAAACAAGATCATCTTAAATCTGTTCAGTGCAAACCAGCTCCCCTCCAGTCAGTAGTTTTCTGTCGCTGAGACGTCAGGTAAAACAGGCTTAATTGCATACTTGGCTTGCAGGTTGATCCAGTGTGCTGGCGTTGCTCTGGGACATCTTCGGGACTGACCTGGAGTTGATGTGTTCATTGCAACATGTTGGGTACCCAAGAGCAGCACATTCAAGAACCGTGGCTGCTGACAAAATCAGATACAGAATAAGGACCCCTGTCTCAAAGGACACCAAGCTGCTTCTTGTAAAATGTCATCTGTCTGCTGTCAATGCAAGGAAGTCGTTATCTTGCCTATGGCCAAGCCTTGTATCCATAGTACATCTGTGCCCTGGCTAGGCTGCTTTTTAAGCCTTTCAGAGGGGGATTCTGTCCACTGTGTGGAAACTATATAATTTTTTTACAGGCTTCTCAGGCATTCACTGTCTCAAACTTAAGCCAAAATAACTGAATTGATTTTAATTCAGCCTTGTTGCTGTTCTGATGCAAGTCACCCTGTGGACTTTCTGTGTGGAAAGAACTAAACCCAAAACCCACGCTGATTTTGATTAAAAAGGAAGTAGATGACTTTCATTCTGAAGTAAGAGTTGCTTGTGACCAGTTTTGCACAGAAATAATTTAGCTGTGAATTAAAGCCAGCTTCATTCTTTTGATTCCTGCTTACAGACTCCAGCAGACAGATATCAAGTTGGAGTCCATAAAGGTTGGAGGTTCTTTGTTCCTCTGCTCACAGGTCCCTTTCTGTATTGTATGCATTCCTATCTGAAGAATTCAAGCCAAAATTAGGGTAAGAAAAACAGTAACCCCAGAGCACCGTTCTGGTAGTGTTTTCTGTAGGCTCCGGCAATGATGTGTGATTTGGTGTATGGCACTAACAACGGGCTATTTGATGTATGGGCTTTGTTTGCCATAATGCAGGGACACGGCTATAGCTGAAGGCAGCCCGTTGAAGTGCACAGAAGTACTGTGATGTGAACCGCTGCGATTCTTTGTCGCGAGGTATTATAGAAGAGGATTAATAACTGTGAAATGAATTGTATTAATTAGAATAATATCTACAGATACATTACCCAGGTTAAAAATAACAACAATAGTCATAATTCCCTGTGTAGCAGGACATGAATTGGCTGGAGGAAATTTTCCCTTTCCATCGGGAGCGCTGCAATGGGAGAGGCCATGCTTCCGTGGTTAGCAGGTGTTTTCTTGCGAGTGTCATGCTGTAGAAATCGTTGACTGTATCACACGGTAGAAATGCGTTGATACGTTGCTCTGTATCACGCCATAGAAGTCTCCTCTGAAAAGGTCGTGTTTGCTTTCATGCTCCCATAAAAGACCAGGGAGATGGAGGTCAGCGTCCATCAGTCTGATGGACTTGTCCCTTTCTCAGACCTTACGCCATGGGCGTCCCTTAGGTTGTACCGTAGGCTCCATCCAAAGAGGAGGGGGCTGGCCTCTTCGGCAGGCTTTCACCCGTGGCCATGCGCGCCTCTGCTTCACCCTGTGCACTGGGCTTGTGTTTGGTCTCCTCAACTTCGGGAGGGCCTGAGCCTGTGCTTAACACGGGTCGCCCGGTTTCTGATCTGGCTCCTCTGCAGGGTCAGAACCTTAATGATGAGCTGTTTACAAATATAAAGCACTTCTAGTTGAAGATAGCAAACAGTGCCATTTATGGCCGGTATTTTGGCAATGGCCTTTATCCAGAACATGTTATTAATATTGGAAAACACAACTTGTGTTGTTAAATAACTAACGAACATTGGAACATATTTTTCTTCTTCCACTCCAGCTAATTAACTTATTTGCAGAAAAGATCCCAGGGACGCAGCTGTGGCAGTTTTTCTTTATGACACAATAGTGTAAGACAGGGACAGCGTGACTTGATTGCAAGTGCCGAGAAGGCACAAGGGAATTGCGGATCAAAGGGCTGATTGCTGCAGTGCAGGTAGTCCCCATTCAAAATTAAGGCAGATATTAAAACAAACAGAAATATCCCCCAAATTTTCAAGTGCGAGCTGTGCTGCATGGCAGCTGATGAGGAACACAGTCGACAGAGTGAGCTGTTTAAGGCATCTGTTTCAGCAACGTGGATGCCGAAGTCTGGGGAAAATATTTTAACATGATCAGGTTAGGTCCTTTGCACTTTGTTAAAGAGACTTTTAGAGAAGTTTTAAACCTGGTTCCCATGTTACCTTTTCAGGTTCAAGCAGGGATAAATTATGGAGGAGGAAAAAGGGCCTTCATTAGGGAAAGTTTCTCTGGTCATTAGCAAATAAGTCGGTAAGAGCCTGTGCAAAGGTACCGGACAGCAGGGGGGCTCGGACCCCCCTTGCAGCACTCTGAGCGGTGGAGTCCTGCCTTGCGCTCCGGCTGCCGACGTTCCCCTGCGGCCGTGGGGGCCGTTGGAGCCAATGGGCTACAGCAGCGTGTCCCCAGGCCTGCGGCAGAGCAGCGTAGCTGTGGGTGAACGGAGACAACCGATGAATTGTGCTGAAGTTTTTCTGGTTAGGTAACCTTCTCATAACCTTCTCTTTTTCACAAAAATCACACAATTTGGACCACTGTTTATTTGTTGGGCTTTTCTGTTGCATTGCGTTATGGCCTCTCTGGGTGCTGGGGAAACCTCTCTCATTACTGCCGGACTGCGCTGAAGTGCAGGACTTTTCTTTTTCACTTTCCTATTAGTTTTTCCCAAAAAGATGGAGACAGCGAAGATGAGGAGGGCTCAGCGAAGCCCTCTAGTCTTTCTCCTTAGGAAAAACCCAGAAATTGTCTGTTTCGTGTGTGTCCTCTGACGTTCAATGCAGAAACTGCAGTTTGAAATACGTGGCTCGAATCTGTGTTAGAATTTGCAGGATTTTGAAATAAAGCAGCTCAGAAACAAGGCACAAGCCTTTGCTTACTATTCCTTGCAGTTGCCTAAAATTGTAACTCCCAGCGATGGCACATTTGTGCAGGCTTCGATGCGGCATTTGGAGCTCGTTTGCAGCTGACGTTTGTGCTTGGCAAGAGGAGAGATCATATGTTTCAGCCTAACCTCATCCAAGTTAAACACTCCTCGGTTCCTGCTGACAACCACAGCTGAAGAAAACTGTATTTTCTTCATTAAGGCTTGTGCAAAGTTACTCTGCTTTTGTGGGTTCCTGCTCCTTTTTAACTCATGGGCCTCAAGGCGAGCCTGTCCCGGTGCCATTGCCGGCGGTGTCCAGGCACTTTGCTTGAGACTGATCTTCAGCAAGAAGTCAGGCATCTCGAGCCTTGTCAAGGCAATGTGAAATAAAATATTCAAATCCTGAAGGGAGATGATAAAAGGGGACAATGTGACTAAAGGCATAAAGAGAGAAGAGCAGATGTGTTCCTCTTGCCAGCTCCATTAAAATGATCACAATGTTCCCTTTGGGCTTTTGTATCTGAAAGGAAAGGCTGTGGTAGAAGTTTTGCCTGCAGCAGTTTTCCTGGCAGTAGATCAGCATGGTCTATCCAGAGTCACTGATGGCGATCTTGAATTTAAAGGACTAGGTGTTGCTGCAGTCCACCCTGGCACTGGCTGTGCTTACTGGTGGCAGCAAGAGGACAATTAAGTGGTGATAGGAGACAAACTCCATTTCTGCTTGGAAATTGCAGCTCCTTCACCTTCAAGATGGGATCTACTGTCAGGATGGTAGAACGGGTTACGTTGGTGGGTTGGCTTAGCAAGTTCAAGTGTAGGAACAGAGGGGTTGGGTCAAAAGTGACTTCAGGTTCATTTTGGCCTCCTCACAGTCTCTTGTCATGGAGACCTTTATCCCAGCTGCGATGCACTAGAAGTTATTTCTCATTTCCCTGTAGGAAGATACACAGTGCTCTTTGAACGCAGGTGTGTGCTGGAGGCACATCTCAGCCTGTCCCTGCAACGGGGACTGAGCGGGGATAATGCTTCTTACACCAGCTCTGTGCCATTTCGAAATAGGGCTAGTGATGGGGTTAATTTTAGAGGCTTTCCCTTCCCACCTTGTTCCATGATGCCATAGTGGCCTCAAACAGCCCTGGCACAGCTGAGACTGCTCCATGCTGTCCACGGCTGTCATCTTCTCATGCACTCATGCTTCTTGTGGTTGTGGGGCGCGCGACTCACAAACTTCTGTTTCCTCAGGTGATGAAGACCTACCACATGTATCATGCAGAAAGCATCAGCGCTGAGAGCAAGCTGAAGGAGGCGGAGAAGCAGGAGGAAAAGCAGTTCAACAAGTCAGGGGACATCAGCGTGAACCTGCTGCGGCACGAGGACAGGCCTCAGCGGCGGAGCTCCGTCAAGAAGATTGAGAAGATGAAGGAGAAGGTGGGTGAGAGGGAAGGACAGGGGAGCCAGGCTGGGGCTGGGGCTCCCTGTGGGCAGAAGGGTTTGGCTCTGGCCCTGTCCATTTTCGTGCAACCGTTCCTGTATCCCTGGGCAGGGGTTAGGGAGGCTGTCAACTCGTGTGTGTGTTTTGCTGGAGGGCGGTCTGAGGAGGCCATAATGAGTCTCTTTACTGCTTCTTGGCTGTGGAGAAGTGCCGAAACCAGCCGGTAGCGAGGATTTGACCCAACGTCGGGCCGGCACTGCTCAGCAAGAAATGGGGACGGGGGACATTGGGCAGCGCAGCCTTGGAGGGGGTGGCGGACCTGCATGGGAGCCATGTGGCCACCGGTGACATCTTCCAGGCTGGCTCTCTGGAGGGTGGGCTGAGAAGGATGGCTGGAGGGGCCTTGGAGGCTGATGGCTCCGAGAGCACACGGCAGAGACGGGTGGTGGGAGGTGCTCGTACACCAGCTGCTCGGGCTGGGGCCCGTGGGTCTCGCTGGGGGCTTGACAGTGCCCCGGCTGGGACCTGAGAGGCTGCCCTGCTGCCGAGGAGAGCAGTGCACCGGTGTGCCTGGACCAGCACAGTGATGCTTTCTGATCCAGACAAGGGATGCTGCTATGGGGGGGCTGCCATTTCTTCATGTCTTTTTTTTTTTTTTTTTTTTTTTTAATAAACTTTTTAAAA